GTAGAGAAAGTTTCCTATAGGCAAGAGTTTCTGAATTACTTTGGTTCTCTAAAGAGTTTCTAAATTACTTTGGGTTTCTAAAAAATTTGGTTTTGTACTCTTAATTGACTTTGATTAAATTAATTAATTTTAGCTCTAGTCATTTACTTGCTATTTTCTCAAAATTCCACTATTTAAATTTCTTTCTTTCTTTTTTTTTTTTTTTTTTTTTTTTTTTTGTAATTTCCAACATTTGCTTTTACTTTTGGTTTTGAATTTTACTTTTTATTTTCTCAAAATCCCACTATTTAATTTTTTTTTTTTTTTTTTTTTTGTAATTCCCAACATTTGATTTTACTTTTGGTTTTGAATTTTACTTTTACCCTTGCCTATATGGATGACAAAACATGAATTGAGTAATTGAAGAGTTAGGTATGGGGGGCAACTTCCCCTTGATAAATCTCCTGCCTGTTCAACAATTCTTCATTTATGCAATTTTTAGGAATGATAATTTGGAAGCACTTCCGCAGAGAACCCGGTAAATGTAAACATCTCCAACTTTGACGATAAGAGTTCTAACTTGGTAACCCTTCGGATTTATCCCATTCGCTTGTTCGAAGTTTGCAACCATTCCTCTTGCGTTTATTTTGTTGAATTAAGACTGTCGTTGTTCGCATTTGCAGATTTATATTATTCTTCTCTTATTTATTATTATTTTTTCTGAATTTTTTAAACAACGAATAGATAGAAATATTTTCATAGATAGATGCCAGTTCTTTCTTCGGGATCGAAAGGATGAAAGGATACGGGGGGTGGGGTGAATGCTATTTTGTAACACAGGCTGTTCCACGTTGTGTTCTTAATTATTAACAGCTCTAAGAATGCAGAACTATGAGGTTTCCAAAGTCCTAAAATAATTTGTTTTCGTAGACCGCAAAAGTGTTGCATGTGCATTTTAAATAATTAAGTAATGCTTTTATTTTTATTAATGGTTAATTGTCATCTAAACTTATGAGAAATAAAACAATTTTTATGGCGTAAAATTTTAACAAGATAATATATTGTTGCTCGTTAAAAAGTATTAACAATGCTTTTCTAACAATAACCTTTCAGAGGATGGCAGGTGTGGCATAAATAGATGATTAAATTGAAATAAAAAAATATTGATTATCTAAGATGACAGAATAGTTTAATACGATGCATCACCATGGTCATCAAAATTAGCAAACAACTGCTGGTGTAAGGAATATATTGTTTTCTGTGTTTAACTGGAATTTAAGACAAATTTTTTTTCGTATATCACGTTTAACCGGTTAATTTCAGTATATTAATACTAATTTATATTTTTTAAATGAATTTTTATTTCTGTTATAAATGCTTATATATTGTCTTATGCTTTGCTTAATAATATATTCTTTTCTGTGCTAACTTGAATTTAATACAAATTTATTTTCGTATATCACGTTTAACCCTTTAGTTTTACATCTACATGCATATTATCTGTGAATTTTTACTACCATATGCTTAATATATTGTTTTATCTGCTAACTTGAATTTACATGCACTAAAAATCACGTTTACAAAATATCACGTTTACGGCTCAGCTCATTGTCGATGAACCGCGAGCTTGGCGAGTAAGAATGCAATGGCGCCAACGGGTTCTTTCCCGAAGCGCCAACGGGTTCTCTGCGGATGAAAACCCGATAATTTTAATTTTTTGGAATAATATATTTTTTCATGGTTTTAGATAAGTACAAACAATTTACATATGCTCTTAGAAATTAAATGATATTGTGAATTAGTTTGCAGCAATAATAATTATTTTTATTTCTTTGCAATTAAAATTTTTTAATTAAATTTTAATTTTATATTTGCTTTATATGAATAGAGAATTTTTATATTTGCTTTTACACGAATAGATAATTTAATATTTCCTTTATGCGAATAGAGAATATTTGTTAAATTCAAATTTCATTCCTTGCAGTAATGTCGCAAGAGAATTATTTAAATTTAATTTAACTTTACTATTTTCTTGTGAAACAATTTTGTATAGATTACGGATGAAACATGGCTTGATCCCAAAAACTTGAAATGAAATTATTTGAGTTGAAAATGGCAATATCATTGACTTGGCCTCCTATTATTGTTTACTTCATTAAAAAAAAATTTGATACTTTCTTTATGAAATATAAAAAGTGCATATCCTTTTTTATAATATTTTAAAAGTGTAAAAATACTTTTTAGATACTCTGTATAATGATAATGGAGTCACAGAAATAAAATCAATAGCAGAAAATATATTTCTAAAAGCTAAAAATACAAGGTGACAGAACTTATTTAAAAATAAATCTAGAAAATGGGTAATCAGTAAATAAATGTACAAAAGGTCACAGACAGAGTACTAACAGCATATCATTCCTACACTTTCTTTATTTTCTTATTTTATTTATTCATTTATTTTAATTACTTTGCTTTTAACTTTGAACCTTGAACAATTTGCACTATTACTCTTTCTTCCCTATTTTTACTCCATTTAGTTTTGAAACCCCATATTTCATAGTGCAGTGATTCATTCATTAAGATTATTTTTTAATGATGAAAGGAACTCTGTCACTACAAGAAATCATAATATTTCTGTTAACAAAAGCATTCTTCATGCTTACAAAAAAGTAAAAGAATTAGTTTACATGATTTTAAAAAGTAAATGATTAAAATTAGTACATATAACATTATTGCAACCTTTCCAGTTTTCAAAAATAAGAGCCCAAAGGGAGACAAAAAAGAGAAAAAGTTATGTACAGGGTGTTTTTGAAAGATAGCACAATTAAGTGCCCAGTGTGAAATAAGGGGGGAAAAGTATGGGTAGGGTGTCTTAAAGATAGCACAATTAAATATAAGAAATAGTCTGTCCATGTGTGCCAACTTAAGCCCATGCTTCTAGTTTAAGATACAAATAAAATATGATAAGGTGTTAGACTACAATAAGTTTGGTCCTGTGATGCATTTTAATAAAAATGTATGCGACTTAAATTTTTGTCTTGGTTATCCGCACAGGAAGTCTTAATTTTTTAACACCATTAAAGAGTGTTTAGAATGGGGGAGGGAAGTCAATAATTTGCAAAATTACCTTTAAAAAAAGTGTCAAAATCACAGGATTTACTTCAAATTTTACTATTTCTCTAAATGGTAATTTGAAACTTTCTCCTAAATTAATATCTTTTTGAATTTTACTATTTCTACAAAAGTTAATTTGAAAATTAATGTTTCTTAACAAAAAGGTATCATTTAGAAATTTGCATTTATAAATTTAACATGCATAGTTGCTTATCAGTAATATTTACATAAGTCCTCAAGAATTTTAATTAATGATATCTTGTATAATTATATGAGCACTAAGTTATACCATGTGACCAAAATTGTCACAATCTGAAAGATACCTTGTTTGAATCATATCTTAAATTGGAATAATATGTATCTATAACCAATCAGTCAACATTTATTCCATCATATTTTGTGGTTGATTATATGGCAAAAGCTTTAATTTCATTAAACAGGTTCTTGAGATGTTATGCCAACAGCTCATGGTGTTGAAAAAATAAGCATTGAGGTGCAAGCCAAACATCGGAATCCGATTCAGCTAGTAAAAAACTGAAAAGATAATGTCTTCATGATAATAATTTTCAAATGAGAAAATCAGAAGATTGAGAGATCAGAAAATATACATCATGTAACTAATAAGAATAAATCAGGAGAAAGTCTATATAGTATCCTTAAGAGCTGTGTATGGCTTATTGAATTTTTATATTAGAGTATGATCATAAAATAATAATACTTGCAATTTCAGGAACATCAGACATCATCAGTGAATCAGTCGAATAGGCCAGTTTAAATCAAACGTTGAACAGTAATCAAGCACTACACAGTTCAGTACTGCTAGAAGCTGGTGCGTTAACTCTACCGGATCAACAAAATTAAAGTCTCGGCAGCGAGAAACCGCAAAAGCGGACTAATTACAGCTATTGCAGTTATCAAGACACTAGCTACGTAATGCGCACACGATGCCTGAAACACTTTCTGGTTCAAAATCCGAAAATCTCAGCTTAAATATACTCTGACTACTAATTTGCATTCTGGTGGAGGAATACAGAAAGCAAAAGCTAATACTACAAAGTAAAGACTAATACTACAAAAAATTGGTCAATTAACATACAATGTCCCACAATGTCTTTAGTGCAATGGTTCATTTATGAAGGGTTCATAATACATTTGGAAATTATTGGAAAACTGGCATACATGTTTTCGACTGGCAATTACTTTCGCGTTTTCAGGTCCGCCCCTTTCTCACCCATCCCCAAAGAACAGGAAAAAAGCAATTATGGAGAATCTCAAAGAGTCTCGGATGTTCTTGAATGATCACTAGAATATTTTGATCCTGATGAAAAATGCTATTTCATAAAAATCAGGGTAACTCAAAGATGATGTGCATTAGCTTGTTTTGGAATATTTAACAATTTTTGCCAACTGATGCTAGGACAACTGTAGATCTGATTATAAAGAGATAAATTCTTATTTTCAAGACAGAGTCGAATTTTCTTTTGAGGATGAAACACAATGTTATAATTGATATACTCTGGAAATTTCATAATTGAGCAATCTTGTTTAAACACCCTGTATTCATCTATGATCAGAAAATTATTAACTATTAAACTGAACATTAGAGTTATTTATCGCAGTTTAGAAAGCTTAACCCAATAAAGGAAAAATGGAACTGTTTTAAAAAACAGCTCCATTTACAGATATAACTCTTAATTTACTACATATAATGAAATTTGTTTAAATAAAACAGTTAATTGCATCAAATATGATATGGCTTGATAAAAATATATAACTCAATATTGTGTTAATAATTTAATTCAATTCTATCACTCATTATCATTGTTTTCACCTCTGGTGATAAAAATCTGCTTGTTATCAAAGATCTATTAAATAACAGCATGTAAAAATAAAAAAAAAATCCTTACGAATGCACATCATTATCCACTACAGCATCTTCAAACAAGTATGGCCAAGTAACTGATAAATGGAATTCCCTGTAAAAAAATAATAAATTTGATATGTGGGAATTCTAAAAAGTCTAAACACAAGTAAAATACTCTTAAGCTTTAAGCTTTTAATAATTCCACAATAATCCTGTTGGAATAAAGTAGTTTGAAAAGCTTATTAAATAAACAATTAAAGAATATACAGCTAACAACACATTAAAATAATGTTGAATGAAATGAAAAGTTTATGCACTGTTAGTGCTAGAATGGACAAAAGAATCTATTAAAATGATAGATATTTCATAGCACAGTGGTGAAAACATGAACTTCAATTCTGTCATTTCAGAATTCCTTTTATTTTCTTGAACTGTATTTTATCTTTCTTATTACAACAGCTCAGTTCTTATTACCATAATGCAAATATGAACATGCACTGCTTATAATTTATCATATTTTGTACATATTCTGTAGTTTAAATTATTTTTCTCGAAATAATTAATCTGTTATCTAATCAATTTTTTTGAGGTTAGGGTACCCAGTTTCAACGTTTAACTAGAAATACCGGTGTTGATATAAGCCTAACATGTGACATCTGTAATTAGTCTTATGTTCTGTGCTAACAGAATTTTTTTAAACCAAGGAAATCTAAGAAAAATAATTATGTAACTATTTACAACTGATAAAATTCTTGACTTAAAAATGGGTCAGATGTAAGCAAAAGACCAAGAATTTACTTACGGAACAGGAGAGCACTTATGGTGTGTTCTGGCAAAATTAAACCAGAACATATTTACAATGATGTTTCCGTGGAAATCTGAAATCAATATAAAAATGACTTAGCCACATTTAATAAGGGCAAAATAAGGTGAATGGTGCATGGAATCTTTTCCTGAATGCTAAATTTGAGAATTTGTGATTTTGTATCCATACGTAGAACAGCCAGACAAATACCGCTGAAACTACCTGAGTTGTCTAAACAGAAGAATATGAAAGTTCACTAAGCATTACAATTGCAGCTTTCATCATTTACAAGATCTTATAAAACCATAACCCTGCACATAGCAGAATGAGATAATATTGTATCATGGATGTGGAACTTACAAGTGATTCTGAACCACTAGAAGAGCAACAAACATTGACTGAACTAAACAAAACTTCTAATTTTAGAAGCACAAAGTAAAAAAAAAAAAAAAAAAAAAGGAAAAGTCAAACATATAATTCATGAAAAAAATAAAAAACAGAACATCAAAAATCAGAGAGAGCTGTAAATCAACAGGAGAAACAATGCAAGTGTTTAAAAGTTTGGAAAGAGAAGACAGATGAAAAAAGTACTGAAAATTTAAAAGAAAAAAATAGTACTAATTTTACATGGCAGAAAATAAAGCCCTGATGAAGTTTTCCTCATTGAGTTTTAGAATGGAGAAAGCCATGATACATAGGTTATAGATACCACAGACACACAACATATCACTAACAGAAACGGTTGATTCAAGACATTTACGAAGAATGAATGCCCAACAGAAATTTGAGTTGGAAACAGCTCAATGATAAATGCATATGAGCAGACAGTAAAAAATGTATAAAAATGTTTTTGTATGGCAGCTGGAGGAGCAGTTTCATGAAGAATGTATACTTCCCAAAAATCTGTATTTGGCAAGTCAAGCTTTAGACAGCGATTCAAAATTTAATACGTCAAACAGAAAAACAAGAACTTTTGTTAATCCCAAAGGTGGTGTTGGTTTCAGCATATGTAACAGCAATTCGTTTAAATTTTTATTTAGTAGTATTTGTCTAAGACAGACATGTTGAATGCAATGTATGCTGCTGATACTCAATTAAATGAAACTAACTCAGGCGTGATGACCAGAACATTTATACAAGCTATGTGTGAAAAAGTTACTCCACTCTTAGTGACTAGAATTAAAACTTGACAGTAAATTTTTACAAGCATGTGTGCAGGGCAAACAGCATAGGTTGCCAAAGCTGTTAACCCTGTGTGAAAAATGTCAGTCAGCTCATACACAATGTTTGTGGGTCTAAACAAGAGGAATCTATGCAAGATTTTTATTACTTTGTTTATTTTACATATGACTAACCTAAATATGGAGGAATCCATATGTGGTTCTTATTACTTTGTTTATTTTACAGACTAGCCGCTATGAGGCCAGCCTTCATCTGACTTTTAAATGTACCGGAAAACAAGCATCCTCTCGCCAAACATGCACGGAACAACTTAGAAACATGTACTGTCACTGCTGTAATGCAATGTTTTGACATAACAAACATGGCCACCGCCTGTTTCATGGATGGCCAGCCTTCGTCTGGCTTTTAAATGTACCAGAAAACAAATGTTCTCTCAACAAACTCGACAAATGTTGTATCCAAGTACCTCGGGACAAATGTCCAGTATCCAAGAGAAACATTAAATTTAAAAACTGCACAGAATTATCATCCTTGTTTTTCCAATTGGCAACAATGTTGATATCAGCAACAATGGCAACAGTGATATATCAGCAACAATGGCTGGTGTGTCATCGATTTGATGAGATTTCATCAAAAAACTATAAAATAAAAAAGATCTCATTCGAATTTTGAGAAAATCGCTTCAAGCTGCACTGGCTTTTGTCTGGATGCACCTATGTAACAAATTTTGTAGCCCTGTGTCTATTAGTTTATGTGCAGCATGAACGAAAGACACACACAAACAGACTCTTGCTTTTATTGCATATAGAGATGACTACTACTCTAAATACAGAAAAATCTTATTCTAAAACAGAAGTAGCAGCTAAATTTGAGTGTTTCCTTCAAGAATTAAACAGAACAGCCAATTAGAGCAGTTCTTAGTTATGGGGGACAGGAGTATCAAATCAAAGTTCTCAAAGATCCTCTGAAAAAAAAAAAATAAGAATAGAATTTTGTTATAGTAGTATTTCTTTTATACACCATGACAAAATGGATCAGTTGAACAAACCAATAGGGCATTTATAGACTTAGCAAAATCAAGATCTGTCCAGGTAACTGCAGGCTGAAATCATATATGAAATTATGCATGTACTAATTGTGGTTTTACATCAGGAGTCAAGGGAAAATCACCTTAAGAATAATCCTCTGATAAAAGACCAAAATTTGATCATCTGAGAATCATTTAAGAAATGGACTGTTTTGTTAACTTAAATAGAAATTTAAGAAATGTGACTCAAGAGGTCATAAAGGTATCCTGTTTAGATATTTAGATGATTTTATTGGTTATTTTGTTTGGATCAAAGGCACTGAAAGGCTAGAAAGGATATTATTATTATTATTTTTTTTTTCCTGGATCCCTTAACATCAACTAGAAATAAAATCAATCCCCATTTCTCAACAACATACTGAACAATCTTGTTTAACAGACAATATTGCGAGTGAGTTTGATCCAGGTGAGAAAAGTAAAAATACATGTTATAGCTGGGAATTATGAAATTTTTTTTAAAAAATGAAACCACATGAATGTCTAACTGAATGCTATATTGTGAACCCCACAGAATCAGAAAATTAGCATCCAACAATGAAATCCAGAGAACTTGAATGAGTAGTAGGAAGATGAATTAAAATCTTATCAGAAAATGACATAGCATTTGACAGAATTACCAGCAGAAGGAAGAAAGCCACTGCAAGTAAATGGGTATATGAAGTGAAGTATCATGCAAATGGAAACACTGATAGGTCATCTAGCGGCTAAAGGTTTTCCCCAAAAAGAAAGTATTGATTTCTGAGAAATATTTAGCCCTGTTGCTTGCTTTGAAGCCATTTATGCTGAAATAAGCATTGCTGCAAATGAAAGATTAGACATTAACTCTTATCTTTTTACCCACTTAAAGGGTAAATTGAGATATGAGAACCTATAGGCCAAATTTGGTAGTGACAAGTTAATTGACCAAATTCAGGCAGTGACAAGTTATTGCCCATCAGGTTTTAATTTCAGGTGTCACTGTAAAGCCACTGGATGTTTTTCAGAGTAGAAAATATGAAAATTCAGCTATGACCTCTTGGGATTTGAACCATGTATATTCCAATAACTAGCTACAAATGCCATGCATGGGGAAATACAATAATTTAATGAATCCTTATTATAGCAATTTAAATAATAAAAGTAATTACAAACCAATGAAAAATTTTTAAAGAGTTCCAATTCATTAAACTTTTAAAAATAATACTTTATTTTTATGTTTAATGCATCTTAACTTACAGCACAGGATCTTCTAGAGCTCCACATGGAAGACGACCTATATCGGTTGGAGTTATATCTTCACCAAGTTCATCAATTTCTAAACAAAATTTAATGAAATATCGTTAATTGAAGACTACACTTTTCAAATTTATAATTTTACCACTTCTCACAGCACTGATTCACTAAGGTAGAATCGAAATTACTTGTATGTATATATATATAAGTAAAAACACACAGCATCAATATACAAACATCCACAAAAGGAAAAATGAGATGGTGAAATCTTATACATTGGTTATCATAAATTAAGGAAAAATCATGAATACTAAAAACGTTACATGTAGAATTTAATGAAAGTTACCCACAATATACAACACATAGTAAGGTATCAAATAACATAAAAAGAAATTATCAGAGACTTTTTGAATTATAACCTATAAAAATTTTACCATCATCTTAAAATAGATGTATATCTAAGCAAACATGGGAAAAAATAGAATTTTTTATTCAAAATTTTCAAAGATATACGTGAATTTATAAAAGGTGTACCATAAATGTTGCAACAAACTTCTAGGGGAGGTAGGGCACATCATAAGGATTAAGAATTGCATAAGAACCCATGCCCGGAAATGTCGGGTAAGTGGCAGCAGAGGTACAGCTGCGCAGGTTAGTCCTGCCACAAGATTGATTTCAGACACAACAGGATCGTTATACACAACACTTTTGATGGCTTCTCACAAAAAGAAATCAAAGATCGAAAAATCCGGTGAGCATGGAACAGGTCCACCATGCCCAATCCATCGATGCGGGAATGATTTGTTCAAATGGCTAAAAAAATCCAGTCCAAAATGAGCAGGATCATGTTGGAATCACATGTTGTGCCTCACATTTGGTGGAACATCTCAAGCAAATCGGGAAGAACCTGCTCCAGAAAGGTAAAAAAATTCACGGCATTCAAATGGTCTATCAGTGTTAGGCATGTTTAGCATTTGATGGTGCAAACTTCGAGCATCTATTGTAACATTCAAGCTGTCGTACACCATTTGTATTCATGTCCAATAAATTTTTCAGATTAATCACTCTTGCTTCTTTTCCCATCTTCTAAATCTGCCAGCACTTACCCCTGACATTTCTGGGTATAGGTTCCTATGCAATTCTTAAGCCTTATAAAGTGCCCTACCTCCCCTAGAAGTTTGTCGCAACATTTACAATACACCCTATATATTGGCACATTTTGAAATTTGGCATATTGTTTTAAAGCAATAATAACATCAAATGTGGTTTAGGCACTTAAGTTAAACTTATTTGAGAGTAAGAACGATGTGAATTTTTTTCCGCTCCTGCATAATGGAAGGGAAAGGAAAATAGGTTGCCATAATACTAAGAAGTTCTCCAAGTGGATTTTTCTTGGTGCAAACTGAAAAAATGTGCCAAATTAAATTTTTTAATTTCTCCGTAAATTTTGCACCAAATTTTATAAAATTTAATATTTATGTATTATTTGGATCGTAGAATCGAAATATGAAAAAACAATCGGTATGTTATTTCAGAAAAAGTCCCATTTTGTGTCAAAAGACCTATGTTAGAGCAATGCTATATATAAATCTAATATATATCCTAAGTTGCACTTTCGAGACATGAAAAACGCAATTTGAATTTCGTCAATCGGCCCAGTAGAACGGGAGATATAGAACTGTCCGATTTTTTTTTCTATTTTATTTATCCTTCCGCAGTGTACAACACATGATACATTTGCATTCTGCTGAGTTCATAATACTGAATATTACTGATGCTTTTTCAATGCATCATTACTACAGAACAATGTCTAAAATACGGACTTGTCGGGACTTTGGCAATTCCGGATTTGGTATTTTTTAGGATATTAGATTATCAGTTGTTGTTATTGTTGTTACTAATTTCCATGCCTAGGAATATAAGGACAAGGACAAGGTCCAATGCCTAGGACAAGGTCCACGAGTCCATTCACCTTTAGAAAATCGAACAAATTGGGTGCATCTTGATACCACTCTCAAAAGTAAGTCCCCTCACTGAAGAATTGGGAAAGTGTTGTTTGAACATATCTTTCGCAATCCATAGCAAGGGATCTTCCAGGACAATCAGCTTGATACCAGGGATGACTCGGGGAAACGAGCCAAATTTGCCTGTCAGCATGTCTTCTAATGGAATGCAGTTCAAGATACGTCAGTGAATTGATAATTGACAAAGGTTCTTTCAGAAGCCTCCTTTGCCAGAATGTCTGCCATTTCATTCCTCCATATATCAACATGGGAAGGAATCCACTGAAGATGCACTTCACAGAGTAACGAGACCTGCCTAAGTTTGCTAAGAATTGCGGCTCCGGCCCTATCACCAACTCTTTGCCAGTTTGAAAGATATTTGATAGCGCTATGACTGTCAGACAAAATCCATACTGCCTTAAGATCTGTAAAGTACAAAACAGCATTTAGTCCCTCTTCGATGGCTATCAGCTCACTCTTAAAAACCGAACTGAAGTCAGAATTTCTTTTCTTTATTTTAACAATATTTCCATCTGTGCACTGTGCATTGAATGACAACACCACTACTGGACAAGAGTCCTCGCTTTTACTCCCATCAGTATAGATGAGGGTAGCTTCAGCGGGAATTGCATGTATAGTTTCCAAGGCAGATTATAATTTTAAATCGGTACTTTTCCGTTTTGCCGGCGCAAGCAATAAAGTCACTAATAATGGTACAACTGATGCCAAACGGAATATCCTCGCTGGTAACCTTTTACGCCTATTTTCAAAACAAGTCGCAGCTTTTTCTTATCAGATTCATTGTTTCTTTCAATACTGGCATACAATTACATAGAATTTTTAACAGATAGTCCAGTTTTATGCGAATCAGAATGTTGAACCATGAAAGCATAGTAAATTCTTAAATTAATGTCTTTTTACAAATTTATTGTCTTTATTTATTGGCTTTTTATAAAATTTTAAGCGATATTAAAATGTGATGGGATGTGAAAATTACAAAATTAAAAATATGAAATAATGAAGTATTTATGATATGGTACCAAAATTCACACAAAAAAAGTTTAATATTTATTTGTTTACCTTATTAAACATTTCTTTCAATGTAAGTTGTTTTTTGTGCTAATACTTTCTCTTTAATTCTGTAGACAGACATAGCTCTTGTTCAGTTACATTGTTGAAGTCCTGTAACTGCTGTGTCGAGAATTCCGACTAACTTTTCAATCGAAATTTTTTCGTTTTCAGTAACTTCTCTGTCATTTTATAGTAGCATTTTCTGGATCTAGAACCACACTACAGATTTCGCCATTCATTAATTGATTGATGATTGAGAAGCATTGTCATCACAATGAAAAACTTCTTTTATATCATCTTCATTTATTACCGCTTCTCCACAATTTTTTATAAAATCAGTTAATTGGAAAATTTCAGCTTTGTTTTGCGATATCCGAAAATTTTTTAAATTCACGGCTATCATCATCAAATTTAGCTATCCTTCACTATACATATTTGGCATGCATCATGAGCTTGGCGACTAACAACAAGTTGTTGCGTTAAATTTTATCTTGCTTCTATCGCTTCTATCGTTTCATATGTTTATGAGACAATTAAGCCTGAATTGTATTAGTTTAGTTGTTTATTATACTTATGTCTATTTCTTGCACATGCTTAAGGCTTATCAGAGTTCTGAATAAATAAATTCCCACATATACTTAAGCCTTATTGAGGGGCGGTGCTAGAAATCTTACCGCCTAATGCAGTCTCTGTGGGTCCTAAATTCTGCGACCAGATGCGGCCATACAAGCCCTGGCTCTGGTTCTGGGTTTATTTGAATAACAAATCAGTTATTCTTAACTCAAATAGCCCTAAATATAACCTTTGGGTCTATGATTATCATCAACAAAATCTATTTTTAGCATATGAAAAGAAAATTTTTTATTATTTTTTATTTATTTATTTATTTATTTATTGTTGTTGTTGTTTTTGTTGTTATTTTTATTGGAAAGTTTCCCTCATCAACAATTTTTAGCGCATTTAACTTAAATCTGTAATCACCAAGCATACTGTCAACATAAAAGGTTACCATACTCCTTTGTTAGTCAATTACTACCATAAAAAAATTGTTTGGTATTGCTACATGAGTCATTTCTCAAGTTGTCATGTGTCGATAAAAATGCGGTGATGAAAGGAAAGTATAACTTATTCGCCAGGTTGGCGTCAGATCAACGATGTATTTATGGGGAATGTTTCTGTTTGAGATGTGTGTCAAGCAGATACGCAGCAACGAAGCCAAATTACTGATCATACAAATTTATGTTAAAATGATTGTTTGTTCAATAACAAGGTATTTTATTTACAGTCGAAGTAAAATTAAGAATCGGGACCCTCCAGATGTTTTATTACGCGCGAAGAGGGGAATCAAATTCGCATGCGTAAAGCGTACGAGAAAAACGTTGGTGGTGGTTTTGAGGTCTGGATTTTAGATCATTCTGGATATTGGACGTCTGGACTTTGTATTGTATTTCTGATGTAAACCAATAATGGCAATTATTAGTTTGTGACCACATGCAACCCAAGAGAATTTTCCCTACAGCCTGCAATTAAAGTTAGCAAAATCTATTATTATTGATTGAATTTTCAAAGCATATAGTATTTTCTTATTATGTACCTATATTAAAACTGCCTTCGTGTAAAGATTAGTTTAGGTCAATACCACAAGAGTTCTGAAATAACTGTTTGTTATTCTAGGGCAAGTTCCTAAATCCTTACCAAATACATACTGTGCATCCCATGTCTTCAAGATATAATTAAACTGGCTCTCAAAGAGACAGAAGTTGGCCATTTGTGACACAAAGCATATAAATCATATATTCTATCTCTAATCAACATTATTGTCAATTATTTTTATTCAATAAAAGCTGAAAATACTTATAAACCAAAATAAAATATTAATACGCTAACAATACTAATTTGCAGCAACATTTACATAAACCATAAATGGATATACAGTCGAACTCTGTATAATGAACCCAGCTTCTAATGAATTGCCAAATATAAAGAATGAATCTTTTGATCCCATCCAATTTCCTATATATCTACTACTCCTATACACTCTTAAAAGTATGAAAACCGGATGTAACAAATTGTAGAGATATCTTCGATTAAATTTTTTTGTTTTTCATATGCTGGAATACAAAAATTAAGGATGATGTGGAGAAATTAGCATATAAAAGTGGACAAGGCAACAGAATCGACCAAAAGACCAAGGAGGAGCTAGAAATGGGATCTTTATAGAAGGCCATGCACATGTATGGCATGAATTACAGGAAAGAGCATTGGAAAGGATAGCTTTGCTACAACTGTACTGTTGCTTCTCCTGTGTGATATGGTAAACTGGAAATCCAGGAGACATCATCAGAATAACTTTACCTGAGATCGCATCATTGGGAAGCTGGAAGAAGTCAAAGTGTGGCAAGTGCAGCAGAAGAGTTTGGATCATTCACAGCATCATTTCACGAGCCTGGAGAGCATTGAAAATGGCAAGAACAGCTTTTCAAGCTCTTACAGTGGTCATGCATGAGCAGCAGCTATGATAGATGACCTACTGGACTACTGCCCTACTAGCGAGAAGAGACAAGCAGCAAACAGAGAGAGATATTAAAAGGCATAGACTATTGAACATCTGTTATCACATTTTAATGTGGCCAAGAGTATGTCAAATGTGGTCTATATGCACAGTGACCAGTACTGTGTATGCCATAGCACCTGCTCATTAGAAACAGTGGGAACATATGGACTGAATACAACAGAAGTGGGGTCAAGTGCTCTTTATAGATGATGGTCAATTTAGTCTGATGAGCCATTCTGACATATACATATCTGGAGAGGAAAGAGAACACACAACCACCCCTCCAATATCATTGAAAGGTACCATTTAGGAGGTTCTGGAGTTCTCATTTGGGGTGGTATTAAGTTTGTTAGATGTACTGACCTTCATATCTCCCAACGATTTCAGTCACTGGTGTCTGCTATTATTCCGAGGTTCTCTTGCCTCATGTTCATCTGTTTAGATACGCTGTGGGTCTGAACTTCCTCTTAATGGAAGATAACACTACACTTCAACATATAGTAACTGTCGTGGAGCTCTTGGACAATAAAGATATTCAACACATGGATTGTCCAGTAAGGTTCCTGGACCTAAATCCCACTGAACATGTGTGGGACCTCCTCAGAAGCTGCTTGGCAGCATATGACCAGCTGCCAGCAATGATTCTGCAGCTGAAACTAGTGTTACAAGAAGAATGGGCCATGGCACTTCAATAGCTCTTTGACAACTTAACCCTCAGTATGTATAGACATTGTAATTTCTGCATTGCAGTCAGGGAGTGATCATATTGCCTTTTAAAGACTGGATTTTTCTTGCCAAGTGCCAATCACATGGACATTTGTGTCATCTCTACAGTTGTGCTCACAGGTATCTTTTCAATAAAGTGCTTTTTTCTCTTTCTTACACCTTGTTTGGATGGTTTTGGTCACTTGTCCCATATTTGCAAATCTTGTAGTATGATTTGTTAATAGGGAACACTTCTGCAGGATGTTACATTTGAAAACCTGTCTTGTCCTTAAATTTTGCACATCAGTGTATTTTTACCAGAACTTCTGCAAGTTTAAACAAAAAATTAATAAACCTTAAAATCATCCACATTTAAGATATTAGGATCCACATTCCACAAAGGGAAACATATTTACATTACTTTTCCTTTACATTCACCTTCTATCCTGTATGTTCTTAAAAAAAAAAGGTTTTTCAAGACAGGTGTGAACCCAATACCAAGAAAATTCATCATTTAGGGAATGAAATTTTGATGCTTATCAATTTGAGGATAAATGTTCTCCAATTTATGTCCTTCAAATAAAAGTTTTGTATTCCTTTGCTCTTTTGCAAGACATATGATATTCTTTACAAAGGTTATTAAATTTTTGCTTTGCAACCATGGATAAAATTTTACTACAATTTGAATCACGCCAACAGAAAGGTACATATTATTTTTACCTCAGAAATTAAGCATAAGTTAAATGCGAATTGGTCAATATTTTTTCTTATTCATTTTTAGTGTTTTTATGTTATAAAAATAAGAGAATTATTTCTGGTTATAAATTAAGTAATTTATTCAAAAAAAATTATTAACATATATTGAAATTGAAAAGAACAACCAGCAAATTTAATTACAGAGCATAATAAAAATTATAATTAATATGATTTTTTAAAATCAGATTTATTATTCATTTCTTTTGGTAGATGTGACAATGTTAATCAGTACTTTTCTTTTAATCGTCATTTAGTTTTTATGATTTTGTAAGATAATCCATTTTTCTTACAGGATTAGAAATATTGGGTTTTAACGAAAGTTTCCCACCACCACAAATATCATCTGCACAACAACTTGCGTTGGCATGTTTAATCACATTTTGTCAAATGGTTTGGGGCATTTGAAACAAAGAGACTTGCTTTAGAACACCGTGTTGTGAAATTTGTAAAAAAACATTATCATTCAATATTATTTATATAAGGTGTCTGAAATAGAACTATCTTGCTACCAGATTAGAACCATCATTTACATCCAGTTCTGTTGCAAAAAGTCAGCGACAGAATGTCACAATCATGGGTACAGCTTTAGGTACTAATGTTGTATCATATGACGCTGTGAACGTTTAGTACCGAAAGTTCAAAAACAAGGACTGTGACATTCAAGAAGCAGAGCACTCTGGCTTGCCTACTGATGTTGATGAGGCCCGCCTCGAGAACTTGTGGAAGAAGATCGTATGCAGCCACTCAAGAGCTTGCTAAGGAGTTAGACATTAGTGCCATGTCCATTAGCTGTGCCATGCATTGCATAAACTTGACGTATAAGTTCAATCGCTGGGTACCGCATGAGCTGACTCAAGCAGATAAGGACAGACATTTTTGGGCCTGCACTAATCTGCTCAAATATCAATGGCAAGTACACGTTCTGGACCAGATTGTCACTTGTGATGAAAAATTGATTTGCTTCAACAACACAGGCCAAAAAAGGGGTTAATCTGCATCTGGTTAACCCATCGGCAGTGTCACAAAGCACAATTTGACTAACAAAAAGATTATGCTTTGTAATCTGGTGGGATTACTGTAGTAGTATCCACAAAGAATATCTGGAAAAAGGTAAAACTCTTGACAGTAAGGGTGTACAGTAAGATGCTAGTCTGTGTTGACTATCAAAGAAAAAGTCTCCTAGCAAAGGAAAATGAAAAAGTTCTGCCGTGAAAAGGTAATGGTTCCATCAAGATAATGCAAGACCACATGTGTCTGCATTCACTGGCTGGACTCTGTATGGACTTGAATGTTATCTTTTGCCACACCATATAGCCCCGACATCGCTCCTTCAAACTTCTACCTTTTTTACGCCTGCAGCTACATTTTGCTGGTGCTATCTTCCATTCTACACAGAACATCTGAAATGAGGTTGATCTGTTTTTGGACTCATGGCTATTACGTTGGCTGAAGGCTTTGGTAGTTTATCAAAGCCTGGGCTGAAGGCTTTGATAAACTACCAAAACGTTGGCAGAAAAATCTTAGATTTGAGTGGTGATTATTATCTGTACTAAAAGTACTGCTTTCATGTTTTTTTCTAACTTTATTAAGAATGTTTTTTGGTGGAAAACTTTTGTTACAACCAGATAGTGAACCATTGGTTATCGCGGGCAAATTGCAGTCCTCAAGTTTGAGAGGGGTTCAACTGCATAACAAACTATAAATATTTTTAAAATTTAAAATCACATTTTGATAATTTCATTAAACCAAACATTCTTTTCTCTATATCAACACACTGAGACCATTGCTTTTACTTTCCCTTCATTTATATGAACTCAATCTCAAAAATAATTTTGAAATGAAATCAAACTAGGACATTGATTTTGCACCATTTCTTTGTCAATGAGTTATGCATTTAAAATGCTACCAGCGATTATGTTGAAAGCTGCCTTTGTCCATACTTAAACTTCTTGATCTAAATAAATGCGATCATGCCACTTCATGATTTTCAATATAAAAATCAAACAATCACTACAACATCACTTTGCTGTTTGTGACACAAATTAAAACAAGTGCTATTATGCTACTCGGCTATTTTCAACAAGATTTTTTTCAGTACTGTAGGGACTCACTCAGTTACATTAATAAATGTCTTAAACTACTTAAAAAATACAACTCTGCCAAGGGAGTTTTGCATAAAGTTTTTCAATCAACTATTATGCCTTTTGATTATTATTTTTTGAAATAAGAAAACCTCTTTCACATAGCAAAGTACCTGATTTGAGAGAATCTAAAATAACATTAGCATTACAATTTGAACATCATCACACAATATTATAAATGCACTATATACTCAATAATTAAAATCACTTATTTATATACCAGGCGGTGGCTGGGGCCAGCTACAAGGAGACCAGTCATGTAAAACATAAGTAAAACGAATTGAAACAGCCACAGGAGGAACGTCTAAGGTTGAAGAAGCCTATAATTGAAAAGGCTACATTAATAGAAATAAGCAATACCACCTCTAAATTTAAATATTGCATTAATCATCTGCTTTTCATTTCTTTAGACATACTTCAGGCAATCCTAAATTCCTCACAATATCACCAATATTACTCTTTATAAATGAAGTAGGAAATTATTAGCTATCACAATAAAAATAATTACAAGAATTGTAAATAATCAAAGCTGTTTTTTGACTTAAAAATTTCTTATGAAAAATAGGATTTTCAACAACACATTAAATTGAATTTACAAATGACTTATAGCAAAGATGAATGAAATAGAAAAGAAAAATAACACAATAACTTACGAGCAAGCCAATAAATTATGAAACTACTTTTAGAAATTATTAAAACTGCATTAACAAGATTATAAATAATTTAATAAACCACAGATTGCTACAGATTTTAAACAGAATTCACCTTAGTATTTTATGTTTTAACAATGTTTTTAGATAAAATGATACATTTAATGTTGTTTAAGACTACTGTTTAAATACAGATAGAGTAGTAATTATTTATCATGCCAGTTTCTGCAATTACTGTTGAATTTTTTTCAGTCCCAGTAGTATAGTTGTTCTCACAATCGATTTCCTAGATGAGTCCCTCCTTCTTATACAAGGTATAACATGACCACAACACAAAAATAATGAGTAAATGTAATTTTGAACAAAAAAATTGGCATCTGAATTTGCTTCCCCACACCCCTCTACTTTGAAGTGTCATTATTCTTGCTTGTAATCTAACATCACAGCTTAATTTCTAATATGTTCTAATATGTTCTCAGAAGTGCCAAAGTCTCAAAGATGTTAGAAAAAGTAAAGAAAATTAAATACATAATTTTTTTTTTTAAATTTTAACCTGAAGGCTTTTAGAGTTTATATTACACCCAAAAATGCGTTTCTTTAATGTTTTGTTCATTACCATTACTTATAAAGTCCTTCGGACTTAAACCACATAAAATTCAATTCAACAGCAATATCACAAAATAATTTTAAAAGGAACATATCTTTAGAATTTCCAATATACAGATTCACACGCTAGAGATAAATTTTTTTTTTTTTTTTTTTCTGTACAGTGTTGTCATTGCTTGCTTTGAAATCGTTGAATTTCTTAACCCATCAACTGCCTCGGAAAACATACAAGATTCATTTCCCAGAGTCACGGTTTTTCACACAGGCGTGCGTAGTTATGCGATTTATTAGGGGGAAAATAAGTGCAAGTTTTACTTTCTAAAAACTGTTTACTTTCACAAAATAAAGAATAAAAGAAAAAAATGAATGCACAAAATTTAATGTTTTGAGTAAAAGTATAATAAAAAGATGTAAGTATAATAAAAATGATGTTTTTATAATAAAAAAGGATCCCTAAAATAGAGTTTTGATCAATTCATTTTTAGACCAGTAAAGTGCAATATCAGGTTTCAGTGTTATACATTGTGAAATCAGTATGCCTAACAAACGTAGTACAGTCAAAAGTCTTTAATTCGGACGTCCATAATACAGAATGGTCTTTAATTCGGACGTCCATAATACAGAATGATCTATAATCAATCCGGACCTCAAAGCTACAAACTTTCTGCGCATGCGTTAACATATGCACATAATACCTTTACGCATGCGTCAAACAAAAAGTGGAATTACTGCAAAAAATGGATAAAGGCATATCCTTTGATTCTCTAATCATTTCGAAATATGTTTATAAATTTTGCGCTGCTCTGCGAGGGGGGGGGGAGACGCGGCGCGCAATGAACTGAAGTTGATCTGTCAGCACTATCCTTATCTTCAGGGCGGATGTTTTTTATTTTATTCGGCTTATAATTCCTTACTAAATGTAGTATTTCATCTCGATGTACTCCATCTTTGATATGATTTAAATCAAATCCCTCATCATTATAAATATCACGAATACACATCAAATAGTTTTCTGGTTGCAATTTTCTAATTTCGATTATGCGTAATGTATGCTTTACACATGGGCGGGTTGAAAGAAATGTTTAATAAAGTAAACAAATAAATATAAAGCCTTTTTTTTTTTTGTAAATTTTGCTACCCTTTAGATCATAATTGCTCTTTATTTCATAAATTACAGTTTTATATGTTTAATTTTATAATTTCTGCATGCCATCTTACCAGACTTAAACTGATGATCTATAATCCGGAAAAACCGATAATCCGGAATCGCCGAAGTCTCGATGAGTCCAGATTAAAGACTTTTGACTGTATATTTCTTCTGAACTGATTGAATGCTACGATTTTGTTCTTGATTTTTCGTTTGCAAGGTGTTGGTTCATATACTCGTCTACAAAACAGTTAGTTTCAGTAACAATATGAAGCATGAGCAGTTCATCAAAAAATAATTTTAAAAAGATGAATAGGTTTGAAACATCCGTTATATCTTTCTTTATTCCTGGAACCTACTACAGAAAGTAAACGAAAACGGAGGACACAGAATAAAAAAAAAGTACGTTTTACTCAAACAACACCAGCCAATACCGCACAGTCATTACTTTCACCGCTTTAGACACATTCCTCTCTTCAATTTCTCCCCACACTTCTCTGAAATAGTATCCTCCTTTGCATACTTTGTCAAGATCATTGTGGTGTTGAATTCCAAAGCTTTGTGAATAATTTTATGGGTAGCAGTGCAAAGCAAATGATAGTATTTTGGAAGGGCGTATATATACACCCGGGGCAGTTAACGCATCGGATGAGCAAGACATATATAAAATCCCCACAGCTGTTAAGGGATTAATCAAAAACTCATAAATGCTTTACAAAACCTGAAACAGATAATAAAACAAATTCAAAATTCGAGCTTTCTGGTGCCCATGTTCAGGTGGAGGTTTATTCAAAATTTGATGGCTCTAGGTACTGTCCTTTTTCCACAATGCAAAAAAAAAAAAAAAAAAAAAAAAAAAAAAAAAAAAACCTACATTCATGCCCATTCTCTTTTATTTAATTTCTTTTAAAATAATATTGGTAGCAACAATTTTAAAAGTGATTCAACCTTTTACATTTAATACTAAATCCTGTTTTGAGGCTAACCCTTCCGACCTAATGCTCCCTTTGGGAATTTCATTATTTATCCTTATTATCATTTATTAATATTAAAATTAAATAAATAAAAAATATAAAATTAAATTTAATGTATAATGAAATGTTAAAAAATAAAATAAATTACTAGAGCTCATTTTATTTGACACATCAGCTAAAATTATGGTTTTGTTCAAAGGCTTAGAATTAGTGCAGCCAGGCTCTTCTAGACTCTGGCCGAATTTAAACCCTGATGAGCATGCCATGAAATGCTAATTATTTACATATCCCAACATACTTTCCCTTTTGTGCAACTTTCAGGTTTATTGTGCACTTCATTTATGGGATAGCAATTTAAATGATCAGCAGTATATAACAAATGATTATCATTGGATAGCTATTAAGTCCTAGCAACAACATGAATAAAGTGTTCCAATCTTCTCTCCTCAACTAATATTTTCCCTAAAATTTACAAAATAAATAAAATTAAAAAATAATAGTAATAATTCACATTACATGATCATTTAGAAGACGTTGAAAAAATATTTATATTTTTCTTACTAGCTTTGATTTGAAGAGGAATAAAAGGCCAGAGAGATGGCTGTACTGAGAAAAAGCGCGGTGTAAATGCACCATGTCAAAACTAGTTCTAATACCACCTCCTTCACAAACACCCAAAAAATATTTTTGCCTCATCTGTTGCAACTGTATAAACACAGGAACTTGGCTGTAAAAAGTATAAAGAATAACAAAGTTAAATTATATACCATATCTAGGTCATTTACAAATTCAAGATGCATGTCATATTAGCAGCCTCTTGGCTGTATAAACAACAACAAAGTTTAATTATATCATATCTGTGTCATTTACAAATTCAAGATGTACATTATAATAACAGCCTATCTTTCAATGAAAAGAAATGGTTATCCACGTTTCAAAACAATGTTATTGTTTACATTGTTAAAAAAAAAATTACATTCTGGCAAAATAAATAGTTCTTGTATTTTACTTATCTCTCATTTATTTCTCAGAGCTAATGAAATACATAGGAAGTTTTTGATAAAGTAGCAACAGATTCAGAGAAGTGACAGTAAATCAGTAAAAATGTACAAAAATGCCATGGAACAAGCTGTCTCAAATCAAATTTAGTCACTGAAAATCATAAAAATACTACTACAGGGTCTGATATTGAGCAAAACTGAAAGAAATACAATGATACTTACATTTTATTTCAAAGCATATTTACAACAGAACTTATAGTGTAGAGTACAATGTTGGAAGGGGGCCAAACGAGAAATTATCACTGGAGTTACTCAAAGTGGCAGCTGTAGACATCCATGTATAGCTGTCAATGAAAAAGGAATGATTTTACACAAAGCGGCAGTTGTAGGCATCAGCGTTTAGCTGACACTGAAAAAGAAATGATTGTCAGATGTGTTCAAAGATACCAAATGTGCTGCTGATGTTTATCACAATGATGGTTATCTGCACTGTGAGGTTTTCTGCTGTCTCCAGAGATGTCTCATAAACAAGTGATTTAAGGTCCAAGGTTGAAAAGGGTTCAGGGGATTGAATTCAATCAAGCGTAGAAACTAAGCAAGGTCCAATGCATCCAATCCACCTTCCAGCATATATGCCCTTGGAGGCGTGGTGTAAAAATATATTAGATCACCATAATATATGAACCACAGGACCCTCTGCACTGCCGATGACATACCTTGAAGGATAAGGACCTAGGAGGATAGGACCTAAGACATACCTAGGAGGATGTGTTGCACAAAAACAAAGAACATTTCATCATCGAGATAAAATGAACAGTTCTAACACAAGAACTGCAGTGTATAATTTCTGCATATCTGCAAAGTATTTTCATTATTTCCAATGACTAAATGAGGTCTGTGTTGGCATGTTCCATGACTTTTTTCCCACGAATTTCTTTTCTTTTCCCCCCTCCTCTCTTTTTGATGCTTACAGTCACCCTTCTGATTCTGTAACTGCTTTAACAGGCCACACTGTATTCTTGATCAGCCCAATTTAAGAAAATGCACCATTCTTAATAAAATTATGATATGGATAATAGTTTTTATAGTCTTATTAGTTTACACAACTTCAAATTACTCTGCTGACTAAAAGACGAAACAAAATATATAAATTTTCCTAACCAGCTTGGATTTAAGGATTTAAATAGAAGAAATCACAAATGACTGCACTGAGAATATGACTAACAACTGCCCTGAGAAAAATCTCAGTGCAAATACACCACATCAAAACTAGTTCTAATTTTCAAAACATTCTTCCGCCTGAAGAAAAGGAACCTAAGTCTGACCATCTTCAGAACAGCAGAACTTTATTTAAAATCTAGACCAACCTTTACTTACTTTTTTGTCTAATTTTACACAGGCATTCTCTTCTACCTAAAAAAGATAACCTATTGTATTTTGTTTCGGAAAAAATGATAAATCCAGAATTTTTTTTCACTTTTCAACTATAAAATCACTTTCAGGACTTAAAGTGGAACCTAAAATTCATAATAAAATTTCTTTTTCTTTCATTCTTCCTTTCTGTTTTCTTATCTTCCTTAACTTTTCAGTTTGATTTAATTTTCTTTTCAAAAGATGGCATAAATAATATATGCTGACAAAATAGTAAAAAAAAAAAAAAAAAAAAAAAAAAGAAGTTACATTTTAAACAAAATATTTTCCCCAGGTACCCTAATTAGTAGTTCTCTAAAATTGACTGTACACAGTTTTATGATATTTGATTAAGCCTTACTAACATTTAGCTTTATGTTGATTTATTTGTTCTGTCTTGTTTCATCACGTAATAAGTGTAAAAGCTAATTTTGTTTCCCCATCCAACCCAAACAGTGTTGTAGCTTTAGAATTTGTTAGAATTGTAAACCAGCCAATATCCTGTAGATTAACAATGAGCACATAGATCTTGTTACCATTTTATGCTTGCAAAACAAACTAGATTTCCCAATGTGAAAACTACCTTCTAGAATGTAATAGGTGCCATTCTTCACATTACTCCCTTCCTTACATTTTGCACCTATGACTCAGAATATCAGTACTCTGCTTCAGTTCATATTCACCTGTTTCTTGCAAGAGTATCAGAGTTCATATTCATCTGTTTCTTGCGAGAATACCAGTCGAGTATTTCAATACCGTATTATTTTTGAAAGAAATGCATTTGACTGAATATTCAGTGCTGCCCAATGGTATGCATAAAATTATTAATGTGAACAATTTATTGTATTTTTTTTTTAAATTGTGTTTAAGCAAGTATGATAGTTTATGGAATATTAGTTAAATTATTAATACATTGCTAGCCATTAAAATTTCTACACCATAACAAAGGTGGCACACAACAAACATCAAATTTGCATGAAAGGTACTAACATTGGGATATGCAAATGATTAACATTCCAGTGCATGCGCACAAAGGAGGTATGAATAACATCATCATCATTTTTCATAAATCAGAAGACTGCACTGTGCTCTGCTCTATTTTCGAGGTCTGCATGATGTCATCTTGCAACAAAATAATGTGTGACCACATGTTCCCCATGCTGACCGGACTTCAATATAGAGGCTGACTGCTGCTCCAGCCAGGATGTTCTCCAGATCTCTTCCCCATTCAGAACATCTGATGCCGAGATACTGGCACGCTACCACTCTCCAGCCAATCTGAATGATGAAGATGCCCAGCTTGATTATGTCCATTTGCATGCTGTGTGCCCCAAACTTTCCTCAAATTTAATCTTATCTTCCTCCCATTATACCGTAATTGTAAAATAAATAAGATTCTGCTACTTACTTTACTTTTTGGTTTAGCAATTCTAATGATCAACAATGTATTTATTTTGTGCTTATGATTGCGAAAGAAGACATACATGAAATGAATGTCTAGTGGAATTGTTTATGCATTAAAATGAAAAAATATTGAAAGAAGGATTTTGTCAGTTTAATTCCTAGTGTGAAACACAAAAATCTGATCACGCTAATAGAGAAATATTCCTTCATAGTGTGATGTGACATTATAAATGCTTAAGAGATGTGCTATGAAATTACTTAACGCTTGTGAGGTACGTGGCAATGTGAAAAAGGTTGGGAAATTCTGTTATATTTCATTCAAGTACTGTTCAATTTTCATCATTTTTATAAAAGGCATATAATGCATTATATGGAATTCATACAAAATGGCCCAATAACATTATGCGAATAAGAGTTAAACATATAAACTCCTTTTAAAAATTATTTTAAAATTTCTTTCAGAATATTTTTTGTGCAAGAGTCAAACACTTCAGATTTCAAAATTTTTCTTTTAGGATACATTTACTGTCAAATTCGAACACTGCAAAGCACTAATATTATACCAAATTATACCATGCTTTTCTACGATGAACAAAAAAGCTCGGATGATTTAAATGATTTAATGATTTAAATAAAACTGCAATATTTAAATATAATCAAGGAAACACTATTAAAATATTTAAAAAACTCATCTGGCTTGAATTCAAAGCATGACTTTTTCTGAAGAGTGCATAATATTTTCTTTTGATAGGAACACATAAAATTCAATTACAATCTCCTTATAAAAAAGAAAGATTTAAATTAGGCAGAAATCATGTACTGTGAGTACTTCAAAGAGAGGAATATATCATCACAATCATTTATTTTGATAATCTTTTAAAGTCAATGTTATTGAAATTATCTACTAGAAGGACAAATTATTATATTAAAAAAGTACAGAGGCTATTAAGTAGAGTTGGCAAGTTTTTCCAACAGTGAAATAAACTGGAGGGGGGGGGAAAGAAGAAATGGAATATTTACATTAGTATATCTATATTTTACATAAATATAGCACTGTTATATTAGTATTAATTTAAATATTTTCATTTTCTATATAATTTAACTAAGCACATTTGTATGCAAATTTTTGCATAATTTTTTTGATAGCATATATATGCATTTTTTTATATTTGCTAAAAGATCTGCTTTCACAAGTGTGAATTTAAATAGATTCTGAAAGTGAAGTCTGAATATTAATAATAAAAACAGCAATAGCATATTTAGAAAAAAATAAAGAAAACTAAATTACAAAATTAAATCAACATAATCATAAAAACCAGTGTAAAAAATTGAACTATTTTTTGCTATTGCATGCAATAACCTATTCTGTAATTTTGAAAGGATACATTTGAGAAAATTAAATTTATCTAACCCTGCTGAACTTTAATTTAAAACACATCATATAGTTCAAGGGAAATTTCAGAAATGATACATCTCTTTCATACAAGACTTAATATACTATAAACAGAATCAAAGTAAAATAAGATTTTTTAAATGGTATATTCTCAGCAGAGTTAGCAAGTTTCTTTCATGATGCAAAATATGGTTGGTATATTATGGAGAAGCACACTATGGTTATCTGCCTAAGGGGAAGAGGTGCCTTCATAGAGGACTTTCTAAGGGAAATTGGCTCGTATACACGTTTTTTCACACGGGGAAAATTAGTGTCAAAACATGGGTCAAAAGAAATTGATCCTTTTACTTATTTAATATTACTAATACTATATTTTAATACAGTGCTCCGCAACTGGTATGCCGCGGCACACTGGTGTGCCATGAGTAGGATATAGGTGTGCCGCAATCAATACATGTATTTGACATCTTGCAATTTTTTTATCATTATTAATACACAATGACTATTTTTTTTCCTTTAATAACGCTATTTAAATGTTTTTATATTTCACTGTTGTGGTGGTTGTGTGTGTGATTGTAAGTGTGTCAGCATTTGAATTTTTCGGCACTTCCTTGATAACTCGGAACTCTTGGGTGTGCCACGAAATTCCAGAAAGATTTTTTGTGCGTCGCAGGTGAGAAAAGGTTGCGGAGCACTGTTTTAATATACAACACTACTACATTATTAATCAATAAAAATTTTCATTTCATGTATATTTTTCTATACCTTCTTTGGTCATATGTATATGCATGCATGTATGCATTTTACGTACTTGCACAAGATTTACAGCTATGTCAAAAATTTTAATTGATTTATAAAACATTACACCATAATGATAACTTTTTATACAGTCAATATGCTAAGAAGAGGAAAAATAAGTGAAATGGCACTTGAGTAAATAAATAAGAATTCTACTACAGTTTTCGATTGTCTTTTTAAAGGAAATTATTTAATTACTTTGTATTTTAATGCAGAAATAATAAAACCTTTATTACTAAATATGTTTGAATGTTAGTATATTTATCCCTGTTTAGCATCCTACAGATATATCATCATTCATTTCTTCCACTTTCTTTCCTTTCCCTCCAGTGTTTTCATAGTTTCTTTAATTTTCAGGAAAGTTTTGTCAATTGTTTTGGAAGAAACCCGCCTTGCTATAAAGATTACAAATTTTATTAAATAACTAATAAACATTAGCACTAAATGAATTCATTAACCCAGCAATTACTTTCATATCACAATCCAGGAATATTTTGCTTCTAATCTAAGTTATAATTTTAATGTAAACTATGATAATATAACATTTTTACTGATGCAACCAAATGTAATAAAATTTTAAATTGTCACCTGCAAGAGCACTGTTGCTTATTACATAAATGTTGCATTGACAGCAGGGAAACTTTCAAGATGGTTTTGATACACATCAACAGATTTTTTAAGCTAATTTTCTGGTTTTTTGAAAAATATTATTAGCAACAGCTCTTCAAATATCTTTTCCACATTGAAAATTTGAGTCTAATGGCAAATGTTGTATCTGTTCTCCTCCTAAGAAGTCACAGGCACTTCATAATACTGAATGAAGATAGTAAATAAACCTGGATTTTCACAGTGAAAAAAAAAAAAAAAAAAAAGTAAACCACTTTTTGATGCAGTGAACATAAAAATTGCACTCCATAATATACGTTCTGAAAATCATACAAATATTATATTTAGTCAACTGAAGAAATTCTATATAAAGCTTTTTTTTAATAAAAATAAATTATTTAATCCTCATAGACTTATATGAAATGTTATATGCCAGTGAACAAAAATATATGAATCACACATCATTTTATGACCATTGCCAAAAAGAAATGAATGAATGAATGAACCTATAAGTAAACTCTAAACTACATGTCCAAAAACCTCCATGACACTGTAATGGATATATGTGGGATGTAATGCATCTGTTCAAATTTTACTTAAAAATTAATGCATAATAATGCCTAATTTATTTAGCATACCTAAAACTATCCACACTATGAAACTACAATCAAAACAATAAATTTTATCACTTTAACTACTGAAAAGTAATTTAACTAAATCAAATTTAATCACAAAATTGAATCGACAAAATTTATAGAATTGAATTTATATAATAACTGCTTAATTATTTACTAAATCAAAAAACATTCCTCAATTGATTCGCCCCACTAGTGGCCACATCATTAAGACTACTGAAAATTTAGAGTTTCATATGGTTTGACCACAGATGAATCTGCTGTCTGTAGTGTTGTTTTTCATGTTCCCACCCCCAAGTGTAATATACATATCAGACACTTTCTTTAGAAAGCCCTCCACAAAAGCACCTCTACTTAGACAGATAGCTCTTGTATGCTTTTTCATATTCTAATAACCTAATTTAATCTAGCTTCAATTTATTCTTAAAATAAATTTTTATAAATCAAAAATAAACGCATAAAAATATAAACAATGGCCAACAAAATAAAAAGAAAATATATAGTATTTTCATACCAGCTAGTGTTATTTATGGCTACATATACTGAACTCAAAAGCATTTTGGTTCGATCTTCAGTCATGATTGCATCATTTGCTTTAGCTGGATGAATAACCACAAATTCCCGTAATCCATACCTATAACATAATTTAAGAACATAATAAAAAAAATTGAAACTCTAAATCAAAAACTATATTTAAAAAATTCAGTAATATAAATCGAAATAAGTATTTTAGCAATGCTTCCTAAATTTATATCATTTTTATGTGCATATAAGCAAATAGCAGTCTTAGTAACATTTAAGAAATGAAAGAAAAATAATGGTTACAAAATAAATGATTTGAAACAGCATTTTGATAGCGTTTTGAGAAGGCAATGCTGGTGCGAATCTCCTGAATGTAAGTAATATGAAACAAACTTGTTTTGCATAAAAGCTCTATCAATCTTCCCTTTATAATTTATGAATTGCCTTTGATACGTTCAGTTTAAATTAGAAGACTTTTTCCAAATTATGGGTTATAATATTTTTTTCTTAATATAAATAAAAAGTTTTAAATACACTGATACAAAGCTTCTTTAAATAACTACACATCATCCCCCTGATTACAGCCAATTGTTAATGTAAAAAGAGACTATTTACACATTTTTGTAATGAACTGTCTAATTTACAATGTTTTAAATAAAAATATTTACTTATCAGAATTTTTTTCCGCAGCTTTTCTGGACTATCAATTAATACTCTGAACTTCAAGATAACATTATGTTTTGTACTTGCAGAACGGGTACCTACTTCCACTATTTATCATTTCCAAAAAGAATTTTGCAATGCATTTAGAAAATGCACTTTTATCACTATAAAAGAAATTGTCAATAGGTGAAACACAAGAGGGCTTTGAAGAATTAAAAAAAAAAAAAAAAAGTTAATTTATTAATTATTTCCTTTAAAAAAATTAACAGCAGATATGGATTTATGATTGGACTGGATTATTTGATCATGGCGAAGAATCTTAATGCTATTTGCCTAAGAGAAGAAATGCCTTTGATCAAGAATTTTTTAAGTGAAACATGTTTATATTTACATTACACAGAAAAACACCTATGCAGCCAACCTATTTGTTGGGATTCAAACTTAAATCAAGCTACCAATGTTCAAGGTCACACACTTGGCTATTGATGACTGATACCTTTATAAGATGAAACTGTTTTTATTGATTGCTCTTCAAATGAAAAGACAGAATTTTTTCTTGAAATATAGAAGTTGAAACATCATACAAGGAATTAATTTAATTTTTTCAAATCTTTTCAGTCTTAATTTCCTTTTGCACGTAAAACTAACAATCATGCTTTTTTAATATAGTAAGTTTTCAAAACTTTCTTTGAATTTTCAAAACCACTTTGATTCACTTTACCATTTTTGTGAGAGCAAATTGATCTTTCTTACAACACTTGCTTAAATAAATTTATACATCATTAAAAGACACAACATATTTCAATCTATCTGCAGCTAAATGATTTTGATATTGAATTCTGAAGTACAGTCAAAAGTCGTTAATTCGGACACCCATAATCCGGAATGATCTATAATCCGGATCTCAAAGCTACAAACTTTCTGCACATGCGTCAACGTATAATGCATTAACGCACGCACATAGGCGTTTACGCGTACGCATGCGCATAATACATTTACGCATGCAAGTTTAATGTATAACGGACGGTATAAGCTAAGCTAAAATTATCTAATTATCTATTTCAGTTAATGTTGCAGATTGTGTTGTTCCTTAATCTTCGAATTGGATCCGCTTATTATTTTTTGCAGACTGTTAGAGCAATTTTATAAAAGTAAGCTTGAACTTTCAATTATGTAAATAGAATTTCCGATGCTGGAAGCATCGAAAAAGCGAAAGCATGTTTCTATGTCCGAGTCTGTTTGTCTACACAAAAAGTAGAACTGCTGCAAAAAATGGATAAAGGCATGAAGAAAGTGACAGAGAGGAGATTTGTTTCTCTAACCATTCCGAAATCTGTTTATCAATTTCACGCTGCTCTGCGGAAGGGGGGGGGAACGTCGCGACATGCAATGAACTGAAAGTTGATCTGTCAGCACTATCCTCATCTTCAGGGCAGATGTTTTTATTTTATTCAGCTTACAATTCCTCACTAAATGTAGTGTTTCATCTCGATGTACTTCGATATAATTTAAATCAATTTCCTCATCATTATAAATATCACAAATACACATCAAATAGTTTTCTGGTTGTAATTTTCTAATTTTGACTATGCGTAATGTATGCTTTACGCATGCGTGTGTTAAAAAAAAATTTTAATAAAGTAAACAAATAAATATTAAGCTTTTTTTTTTTTTTGTAAATTTTGATATCCTTTAGATCATAATTGCTCTTTATTTCATAAATTACGGTTTCATATTTTTAATTTTATGATTTCTGCATGCCATCTTACCAGAATTAAACTGATTATCTATAATCCGGAATCGTCGAAGTCCCGGCGAGGTCGGATTAAAGACTTTTAACTGTAGTATAGTCTACGTTCAGCTACATTCCTACAAAAAAGCTAATGAATGATTATGCCTTTTAGCACCTTTAATACTTAAAGCTGTACGAACTTTACATCAATTAACCAGTTATTATTATTATTTGAACCTTTAATATAACTTCTTTCTGTAGTCGTAATCAAAATGTACATTAGTTTTGCGAGTATTTAAGCTGAGGGTTTGAAAGAAATTTTAGCAGCCTCTCTTGCAATTAATGTCTTATTACTAGCTATGCCAAAGTTTATTCTGGCTTTAGCCATTTTGCTAGCCAACATTCAAAGGGTGCCATTAAATATTTGAGCTGGCTCAAGTAGATCACTTTGTGTAGTCTCTGACTACATTACTTGAATTTATGTTACTTTAAATACCCCCAAATAGTGAAGTTTTGTTTTATAAGCACTAGTGACATCATCTGTTAAATTTAAAGAGGTAACAAAAAAGGTTATTTTAACTTTCACAGGACTTTGCAGTTATCTTAATTCAGACTGGAGTGGTAACTAACTTATCAGTAGCTTGTGAAGACCATTTAATTAAACTTTTATTTAGAACCCTAAAAAGCTTTATTATTTGGCTTATTATTAATACAGGAATATTTAAAGACTGTGGAAGTATTTATAGAGTTGATGGATTTCCTCCTAAGACCAAGGATGTGAGATATTTTTTACAACATCTATTTAAATAAATCGACGCATTTTCAAAAGACACGATGTACTTCCATCTATCTGCAGCTAAATGATTCTGAGTTTGACAGTGTCGTCTGTGTTCAGCTATTTCCTTACAAATATGATGATGAACATTATACATTTTAGCACCTTTAGTACTTAAAGCTTTGTTTATTATTTTGCTTTATATTAACATAGGAATAAAAGACCATGCAATTGTTTATTGAATTGATAGATTTCCTTCTAAGATGAAAAATGTGGGTATTGGGATTATTGCAATTTTTCAACAAATGCTACAAACCCGTAATTCTATTATGCAAAACCTTAAACTGAGTAGTACAATGAAATTAGAATTTCCTTTATATTTGCTGTAAAATGCTGTAAATAAATAACTAGACTGTTCTGAGAGTTAATAAAGATGGGATACAGCACCTTAGCAGATTTAAAATATTATTTTAAAGGATAGTTCAATTTCATCTATCGAAAGTGCAACTCCTGTGCTGACAGTCAGAGTTCACTGTGTAAGCAGCATGACTGCCTTTACACAGTCATAAGAAGTTTTGTTATTTGACACATATTAGTTTATAATTTAAATTTTATTTTTTGCATCACAATGTAAATATCCACTTAAGAAATGAAAATTTATGGAAACAGAAACAAAAATAAGTAATTATAAAACTTGGCAAAGAGAATCTGTTTTAAACACAGTTCTTCATAAGGAGATCTAAAAAGCTATGACACTCGGAGATTTAAACCATGTAATACCTCTGGAATACATTAAGATTTTTGCTCTCACATCACACTGCATATATCTTGTAATTACATTATCAACAGGTGAAGTTCTAACACTTTTTGTATTTATTCCATTTGTAAATAAGGTATTTAAAAAGAAATTTCCTTATTTTTTTTATCTGAATTATTTTCATGCCATCAAACATCAACAAGAATATTCTACTAACCAGGAAAATGCATATGCAGATATTTAATTTTTCTTTTAATGCATCTTGATTCCCTTTCATAGTTTAAATTTTATATCAAAGAAAGTATACACATTTATAGATATTAGTTACAGCTATATAAGACTGGACCTTTTCCACATACTCCCTTTTTGCTCTTCCCTCTTACACACATGAAAGCCATGCTTGGCAATTTTGTTCATTTTTAATGTTAATTTTTTCATTCAGAAAAATTAATTTTATAATTTATTACTATTTTTTATATTAAAAATATAAATATTTCTCTCCAAAAGAGAAAAATTATGACAAACTGAGTGATTTAAAACAATACAGATACTGTTAAAAAATTATCTCTAAATAGAATATCTGACCGATACCATGTACAACACATGATACTTGTAATTTTTATTCTCATTTACACCATTATAAGATTAAGGAATATTGTTTCTAATGACTTGTACTTTTGTACAACAGTGGTACAGTTATAATCTGTATTTAGCCTAACAAGTTAATTATTTTTAAAAAAATTAGGCTATAGTGACTGATATATATATATTTAATGTAAAAAATCAACAGATTAAGCACATGTTTCTACTAACCATCTCACAAGACAATGAGCTTTTGGAGGAAAGTCATTTTCTTTTGACATCATATCTGCCAAACAATATGGGAGTGGTTCACCTGTGCAGAAGAAAAAAAGCATCACATACAATATTCCATTATTTCTCAAAAACACAGAGATATACAGTACAACTCACTTACAACAAACCCTGATTTGATGAGAAACCTGGATTTAATGAGGAAATCTGAATTACTTGGTTGGTCTACGGGAGCATAACTCACTTTTAACAAGCAAACCCTGGTTATAGCGTGCAATATTTTTATAATTCATAAAATTTCTGTTGATTTCCACCTCTCCAGCTCAACTAATCCTTTCTTGGAAAAACTCCTTTAACATTCTGAAGTCAACAGGAAGTTAGTGACGAGTCATAAATCTTGCAAAAAGGTAATGACAACCCTTTTTATCTTGTGGAGTGCACGCACTTGGACATCCCACAGTTACCTTCAGGGAAGAGACGGAAACAACAGAGGTTGCTGTTTGAAAAGAAGTTCATTCTGCATAGGAGTGGCAGGATAGGAGACTTGTACGGAGGTCATTCTTTGATTGACATTCATAGGGTACACTCATCAAATTTTATCTTACAATGTTGAAACGTAAAATTTTATCGGTTGATGAAAAAACAAGGATTTTACAGGAGTTAGAGGATGGTGTAAAAATTTCCAAAATCTGCATGTATGATTTACCTTCTTCTACTGTTTCAACACTGTTAAAGGAAAAATTAATTGTTGCATTCGATTAAAATAAGAATGACTGTAAATGTTTGAAGAAATGCACTAAAGAGGATTTGGACGAAGCTCTTTTAAAGTGAAGGTGCAAGGTAGTGCAGATTTTTTCTGCAAGTGGTTAAAAATTCAAGCAGAAAAACTTCCTGAATAATTTGGCTATTCTAAATTTGCATGTTTGAATGTACGGCTTGATCAATTCAAGAACAGACATGGGGTATCCTTTGGAAAAATTTGAGAAACAAAGTCTGCAAACATGGCAGGTATCATGACATGGATGAGTGAAATGTGGAGAGTCATCAGAGATGGGTACACAAAAGATGACATTTATAATGCCAATGAAATGGACATTTCTACAATGTAACCCCACAGCAGACTTCTAAGTTCAGGGGTGAAAAGTATGACAGTGGCTAGCTCTCCAAAAATTGACTGACAGCTTTAGTGCATTTTAATATGTCTGGCACTGACAAGAAGAAACTATAGGTTATTGGCAAATCCAAAACCCCTAGGTATTTTGATCATGCGAAAGATCTTTCTGATGATTATGACTACAGCAAGAAAACCTGGATGATTCAAGACATTTTCATGGAATTAATTTCAAAATAGGAGAGGCAAGTGAGGAAAGAAAAGCATATTGATAATTGTAAAGTGCATCCTGAAATCACTGGACTTACAAACATTAGCACTGAATTTTTCCACCGAATTCTACAAATGTTATTCAGGCTACGGACCAAGGAGTCATCAGAAGTTTTAAATCAAACTTTTATAAGCACTTATGGGGCTATTACAAAATTTAAGTTAAGATTTTGATTTATGAATTTTATATATATATAACTATTTCATAACCCTCATACCTTCTTCATTATCATCAACAGCAAGAGATGCATCATATTCAGTATCACTTGGTTTAAGCTGATGATGAACAGCTTCAAACTGAAATGATGCAAACATCAACTGCTCTCGTTTTTCCAACCATGTGCCATCCGTTAACTCACCCTTTAAAAAATTAAACAAATTAAATCATTACAATCAGTTACACAAAAATGTTTTAATTCACTACATTTATTTAAAACACTATTTTACTAATTTGGTTATGGCTCATTTTCAAATTTTGCTTAAATATGCTGTCCCAGAAGAAAGGAAGAAAATTCAAGATAAATTAATATTTAAAGCTTAATTTGAGCAATGCATTGCGATGATTATAAATATATTGATTGATGACTATTGATGACTATAAATATATTTCTACAATTGATGTATTGATTATATTTCTACAATTTCTACCATTGATGACTATAAATATATTTCTACAATCTGAAATATAAAAAAATCAACTGATATTTTTTAGATATAAATTTAGCAAATCAGTAAAAATAATTTGCCTTCCACTTCATATCAAGTCTGTTACTTTGAAATTATTTTACCACAATTAGTTTGTAAATCTGCCTAAACAGAGCAGTACATATTCAAAGTAGTCAAGCTTAGCTTGAGTACTTTATCTATGTCACTGAATATCTATTGTCCCTTTTATGCAGATTTGCAAATTAATTGTGGGTAAAATAACCTCAAGGTAAATGGACTTGAGATTTTAGGCATTTTTACTTCATGACAACCGGAAAACAACGTGCTAAAAACATGCTAGTTTTGGTATACAGCAGGAGTTGGAGGCAGTTTCTCAGTTGTTAGTTCATTGAGTGGGAAGTGAGTGCATACTAAAGAGTAATTACAATCTTTTAAACAATCAGAAGAGATATAATTTTAAAAAAATGCTACTTGAAATTTAGTAATTTGATTTCATTCTTAATCTTTGGTGCAATTAATCTGCATATTTAAAGAAATTATCTTAACTTAAACCTTGAAGTTTTAAACAAATTTAGATTTATCAGTTTCAAATGTTTTTCACAACTCGGTGCATGTCAGTTAGTAGGTGGGGTTTGAACATAATAGTTAGAGTTTAATATCCTACCCTCTTTGAAAACGCAAATTTAGTTTTTGCAAAAATTCAAGCTATATTCTTAACAACAACAAAACAGAAAAAAAGAAAAAAAAAGGTTTAAAAACATTTTTAAAAAAAGTTCTAAATTAACATTCTATAATAGTTTAGTTCTATCTATACTGAATTTCTAGGTAATATCTTAAGCATACTCAATTAAAAAAAAGGTCACAAAAAGGCATGCTCGATCCCAGGACTTTCATGAATGTGAGGAGGAGCTGTATATCTTCTGGTTAAATGGTGGAATATGCTGGCTCTCTCTTACAGCAGCCTTACCTTTGTCCTTTTTCAATGATGAAAACTGATGAGATGGGTCACAATTTTCAGAAATTTTTCTATTGTTTGTAGTAATGAGTTATTTGAATAACCAATTTACGAAGATCTTATGGTTATGCAACAAAGTCATGATATCCATTATTGACTGGTTGGTAAAAACTGAACAAAATATGTACTATGAAGGCATTACTAATGCTGCTTATTTTGCTTATTTTTTTAACAATGGGGAGAAGTTTTTAAAATATTCTGGTTATTTGAGTTTTCTGTTTAGTTCAATATCAAATAACTGGGCTTTTACTGTATTTAATAAGGCATAAAAAATACGACATCTAAGTTTACAAAGATATTATACACATAAGAGTTATGAAGGAAGTGTTAAAAATGAGGTTTTAAAATAAAAATACCTTTTTCAGGGGTTGAACTGATGTATGTTGAGGTAATTTCCATTCATGAAATACTTCTTCAATTCGTGCAATAAACCTAAAAAGGGAGGAAAAATTTTAAATAATTTCTGACATAAACAGCAGAAAATTTACAATATATTCAGCTTGTATTACATAAACATATTTGCATTTAAAAGCAATTAAATATCATGGATTGACGACAGATACAATATGACTAGAAATACATTTAAAAAAAAAATCTTCTGGTTACACCTAAACCAGATATTAGCATTTACATACACATATTAGCATAGAATATTTACCTATCAGTATAATGTATAAGTACTATTTTATTCATAAATAATAATAAAAAGAAGCATTTTATGAAAAACAAGAAATTTTAAGAACAAACAAATCCAAACCAATGGATCAAGGTTTAAACTATGATAAAACTGTTGGAGAAAAAAATCCATTAAAGATTTTTTTAGAAAAAATAAAATACAGTCAAAAGGTGTTAATTCGGACACCCATAATCCGGAATGATCTATAATCCGGACCTCAAAGCTACAAACTTTCTGCGCATGCATCGCGTTGCCGCAAAGACCTTTACGGCTGCGAATTTGCGTGTGTGCGTGCACAAAATATGTATACGAATGCGCGTTTAATGTATAACGGACGGTATAAGCTAAGCTAAAATTATCTAATTATCTATTTCAGTTAATGTTGCAGATTGCGTTGTTCCTTAATCTTCGAATTGGATCCGGCTTATTATTTTTTGCAGACTGTTAGAACAATTTTATAAAAGTAAGCTTGAACTTTCGATTGTGTCAAATAGAATTTCCGATTTATATTTAAAGAGAAAGTATGTTTCGGAGTCCATTAAACAAAAAGTGGAATTGCTGCAAAAAAATGGATAAAGGCATATCCTTTGTTTATCTTTAACACCACGTCGGCACGCAATGAATTGGAAGTTGATCTGTCAGCACCATCCTTATCTTCAGAGCAGATGTTTTTATTTTATTTGGCTTATAATTGCTTACTAAATGTAGTATTTCATTTTGATGTACGCCGTCTTTGATATGATTTAAATCAAATGCCTTGTCATTATAATTCACTTCCGATAGCAAAGAAAGTGACAGAGGTTATTGAAAACGAAAAAATTTTGATTGACAAATTAGTCGGTATTCTCCACACAGCAATTATAGGACTTGAACAGCGGAACTTTGTAACTGAACAAGAAATTATGTCTGTTTATAGAATTAAAGATAATGTATTATCACATAAAAAACGAAGCAATTTAAACAACTTACATTGAAAGAAATGTTTAATAAAGTAAACAAATAAATATTAAGCTTTTCTTTTTTTGTAAATTTTGATACACTTTAGATCATAATTGCTCTTTATTTCGTAAATTACGGTTTCATATTTTTAATTTTATAATTTCTGCATGCCATTTTACCAGATTTAAACTGATGATCTATAATCCGGAAAAATCGATAATTCGGAATCGCCGAAGTCCAGATTAACGACTTTTGACTGTATCATGGATGCCATAAACAGCACCAATCTTTTCTCGAATAAAGTGGCCAATATTTGAAAAGAGTATAGAAAAATGTATGGCCAGATGTATGTATGGCTTATGAATATTGGCCACATACAATTTTATTTTTTCTCATAAAATTTTATGCTTCTTCAAAAATGATTCTTTTATTCGGAGTTAGAACAATAACTATGAGCAGGAGCAGATGGGACTCATCTGACTGACACAGCCAGCTTGAAAAAAAATACCAACAACTTTTTGCAAGTTGGCGATTGTTTGGCAAGACACAAGGGGTGCCAGGAAGATTTATGAAATATGAGTTATAAATGTATAAAATCTGAGATCCGGCATCGTCAAGACTCGGGCAATTCTGTATTTAAGATCATCGGTTAAATCTAGTAAGAAGATCTATAGACATATTGGGACCTCACTAATTGTTAAGTCAGATAGAAAAATGTCCCAAGCACTCGGGGCCGAAAACGTGATCCAGGTCAACATAAACACAATGTCAATCAAAGTACTGTCAATGTCCACTGTGCAACTCTGAGCAGCAGGTGTTTGAAACTAATATGCAGGAATCTCAGATAGTGAGAGGTTTGGTTTGGTTTATTTAATTATGGCAAAGCACACTAGGGCTATCTGCCTAAGGGAAGGGATGCCTTCACGGAGGACTTTCCAAGGGAAACTGGCTTGTATACACGTTACACATGGAGAAAACCACGAAAACACCAATGCAGCCAGCCTATTCGCGGGATTCGAACATCGGACCAAACTACCAGTGTTCAAGGACTTTACTGGTCGGCCCCTCAGATAGTGAGAGAAAAATTCCATTTAAGATACATATGTTTCCGCCTGTTTCCTTTTACTTAGTACTCAGTTAACCATTCCTACACTCTGTAAGTAGAAGAAGGGAATATTTTTATATTATTTTATTTCATTTATTTATTTATTTTGACTATTTCATTTGCCACTTCTTGTGGGGATGCAGACAGTCAGATAATAGGAAGAATTTTTCATTATTTATATGTGTGCAAAAAGTGATGCAAATATAAATATTTAAAGAAAATACTTTTATTATATTTTCTATGGATTTCATTTAATAATTTATTTTTTATTTCATTTTATTTTATTAATTTCTATGGATTTTATTATATATATATATATATATATATTATTTTTTATTTATATTTATTTCAATGTGAATAACACTGATGAAATTAACAGCTATTTCTTGTTAAAGTAATCACCGCATAAGCCTCTGGCAGCATCTGAAATTGCACATTACAGATTGTTGAATAAGTTTGCATAGCCATGGTGAGGAACAAAATTTCGGTAAAGTGCAGAATCGCCCACTTATTTGTTTGGCGCTTTTTACAAGAGTAAGAAGAATTGGATTTTTGTCAATTTTCTTTGACTTCTTAAGTGAAAATATGTCGATGCGTACATGGATAAAGCCAAGGGAGTGCGCAATGCTATTTTTGTGCAATTCTGGGATTTTTTTAAAGTAAAAATAGATCGATGTGTACATGGATACTGAGTATGTGCATTTCTTAAAAACGTGTCAAGCAGTGGGCGATTCTGCACTTCCCCCAAAATTAAATACTACCAATCTTATTATTCAAAAACATGAAAAATGTGCATTTAAAATAACTGTACATAAAATTTATTAACTGGATATGTTTTAACATACTCATGCATTTTAAAGTAGTTAATTTATATTATGAAAATATCGGTTTTTTTTAAATACCTATATACAAAAATCGTACAATATAAAACCATAGGGAATAAGATTATTATATTGCTCTTATATATTTTTGCATTTTTATATTGTTAATAAATGCATTAAAATATTTATTTATTCCTTAAAATGCCCACACAGATAAAAGCAAAAAAGTGTAACAAATTGGAAAACGGCAAACTTTTCACTCAACTGTCACCAACATCTGCCAGTTGCTTCCAACTGGTCATAAATCCAGCTTTTGGGCTATTTAAATGATCAGTGATTTTCACTAACAAAGTGCTAAGAACATTGATGCAAATGGTGCAAAGCTATTTTAGGATTCCTAAAAGAGTTTGCACCATTTGAAATATACATGTTGTTTAAATATATATTTCCCAGTAAATTAAGAACAGCTTCCATAGTCAACCATGAAATTATAAAATGTTCTTGAAGCTTGTCATCATACGAAACACTATAATTTTCAGTCAAGGCCAAAAAATTCTCTGAGTACCACCAAATAAAGCTATTTAAAAGTGTAAGTTTTTAAAATTGATTTGTATTTTAGATTTTCTTGAATAGTAAAGTTTTTTAAACTTTATTAAATAAGTACAAACAACTTTACTATTCAAGAAAAATCTAAAACACAAATCAATTTTTAAAACTTCTGAATAGTTTTATTTTATTAGACTTTTGTAAATAATAGTTCACTAGCTAAACTGTCATACATTATGATAATAAATCATCTTAATGAATTTTTTTTATATTTTTAAAATGAAACCTGCATAGTAATGTATTGAAGAAAAATTAATACTTTCGCTAAGTTAAACAAGATTTTTCTAATTTCTTCAATATTTTGCAGTTTTATTTTATATTTCTTCCTTTCCATGTTTATATGAAGTAACATATATTGAAGAAAAAAAAAAAAAAAACTTTTTTATATTCATAACTAATGGCCACTTTAGTAATTTAATAAGAATTCTAGTTAAACAGAAAATAATATCATTACCGTTCCCAGTCAGAAGCAGTAGTGAAATCCGTTATCTCAAATACTTCTTGATCCTTAAATAAATATAATCAAATGAATAACTACAGAAGTTAAAATTTTCATTATAAATGATGCAAAAATATAGTAAATTAAAAAACAAATTAATGCCCTAATCATTTTCAAAACAACAAAACGCATACAAATAAACATTACCTCTTCAGACGACATTCGCCTCATTGGACCTGAAATACTTATTAAACCAAATATTAAAAACACGACTTTATAACATTTATTTTGAATTTACCATGTTGTCATGTGCTAGGATTTAAACAACCAATTAACCGGAAATGACATATGAGAAAGCAAGACTAACTTCCTATCACGTGAATTTAATGGAAATCCTACAAAAACGACTTGACCGCTAAATTCAAGCAAGGACCAAGGCTCATAGGCTTAATGCCTTTATCATCATCAAAGATTAATTACCAACAAGAGAGTTAAGGAAAGAAGTAAATGGTAGACTGCCTTCCACATTGAAAAAGGGTACAAAATACTGAAGGACTTAATTCAATAATTTTGATATCGAAAAAGGGTCAGAATCGATTTTGAAGGGTTACATCATGAATTTTGAAAAGATTCTAAGTTCCTTCATCAGTGGCCATGCGGTGTAACAACACGAAAAAGGAACCACTCGCGAAAGATCATTCACGTCACTAGCGATTCGGGTCTGGGGAGGGAGAGGTGCAGGAATTCATTACCTATAACCTATATAGGAGCTTTAGTAAGACTAATTAGATATAAAGAGACTGGGTCCGATCTGCCACTGATACAAAGAGAATTGATTTTCTTCGTTTACTCTTTCTTTCAACATCGCACTTTTTTCGTCGTACAAAGCAATAAAGCTTCTGTTGCAAGACCTGTTCGTTCAAGCGTGCCTCAAGCAGTATCCCCCTTAGGTCCCATTCTTTATCTCTTTTATACACCAGATTTTCCACATCCCGAACTGGACTCTCTACTTGATTGCTACGCCAATGATACGGCAATAGCCATCAAATCTATCAAAGCAAATCAAGCTATCACCAAGATGCAAAATTATCTTTATTCTGTGGAAGACTGGTGTATCAACTGGTGCGTCAAGATCAAACAAATATCAGTTGTTAATCTTCAGCAAGACCCGAAAACATATCAACTTCAAAAAATTCTTATTGTTTCAAGAACCAGTTCCTTTAGTCAAACAAGCCAAATACTTAGGCATCATTTTGAATCAAAGACTGACATGGGTTAATCACATCAAACGCGTCAAAAGCAAAGCTTTTGGTATCATGTGTAGATTCCTCCCTGTTATAGGGAAGTATTTCAACCTTAGCCTTCGCACCAAAAGACACATTTACCACGTCATTTTATGTTACGCTGTTCCAGCATGGAACACGACAACAAGGAATCAACTTTACTGGTTACAAGTGGTTCATTTGATCATTTCTTTTCAAAACAAATTTCTACGCATCACTATCGATCAGGAATGAACTCCTTCACAGGGATTTAAAAATTGAAAGTATCTTTGACTATATCAAAAGACCTAATGAGAAGTTTTTTACTAATTGGGATGTTTAAAAAAAGGTCTTTTTAGTTCTTGTTAAAACCGTTTTACTCTTCCTTTTATTGCAAAATCTGTCCAAAAAATTTCAACCGTACCTATCAGAAAATGACAAGATGGCGTTTTTTTTTCTCTTTCTCTCTGTGTGTCGTGTTATTCCATCCTAGGTTTTCTTCTCCCCCCCATCTTGGAAAAAAACTGGAAAAAATTGGTTACGATCTCTTTTTGAATGGGGAGATGCCATTTTGAGAAAAAGCTGACGACCCTATCTTGGAGAATGAACATGACCGCTCTACACACCCTTTTACTCTCTCTCTCTCTCTTTGAATTGGGAAGCCATTTTGGGAAAAAGCAGACGACCCTATCTTGGAGAATGGAAATGAACGCCTCTCCCTCTCTCTTTGAAATGGAAAGCCATTTTGGGACCCTCTATTCTTGGGGAGGGAGAAAACTGAAGTCTGCATTTCGCTGTCTCTGAATGCGGAAAGCCCTTTTGGGAAAAGCGGACCCTCTTCTTCTGATCTTGGAGAACTGGAAATGAACGCTCTACACGATCTCTCTTTGAATTCAGAAGGTATTTTGGGACCTTCTAATGTTGGAAAACTGAAATGAACGCTCTACACCTTCTCTCTCTCTCTCTCTGAAATGGGTAGCCATTTGAAAACTCCCTAACTTTGGAAAAAAAGAAAATGAACGCTCTACACACCATCTCTCTTTGAAAATGGGGGGTGTCATTTTGAGACCTCCCTCCCCTAAACTTGGAAAAAAAACTGAAATGAACGCTCTACACTTTCTCTCTTTGGACATGGGTAGCCCTTTGGGGACCCTCTCCTCTTGGTAGAAAAAAAAAGAACTGAAGTGAAGGCTCTACACAATCTCTCTTGGAATGGGATCCATATTTCGGGAAACGTGGATCACCTCATGCTGGAAAACTGAAGTGAACCACCAAGATTGGACTCTATATAATATTTTTTTTAATTGACATCATGACCCTCCTCCAATTTGTTATTAAAAAAATTTTTTTTTTGTTTTGGTTTTTATCCCATTTCCGATGTGATTTCAGAAATGCAATTCCATAACAGTTCAATTTCATTCGAGGTTAAATGATCTAAACAGTCTTTGACCCACCCATCCGTATGATTATTTTCTTCTCCTTCCTGTTGCACCAAATTTTGTAAGTCCATATAATCATTCCATACGGGAAGGGCTGGATCCTCACAAGGCTGTCTTGAAACACTTGGAGTCTCTTTGGGATGAGTGGAGGGATCTAGGATGTCTGGACCCGGCTGCGATTCTACCTCCATGATTTCTGGACCCGTTGGAACTTGTTTACCCGGCTGAAATTCTACCTCCATGATTTCTGGACCCGTTGGAACTTGTGAACCCGGCTGTGATTCTGCCTCCATGATTTCTGGACCTGTTGGAACTTGTGGACCCGGCTGACATTCTACCTCTACGATGTCGGGACTTTTTGAAGCTTGTGGACCCGTCTGACATTCTACCTCTACGATGTCGGGACAGGTTAGAGAAGAAGAAGAAGAGGATACTGGAAGAGGTTCTGTCTGTGAGGAGTCCAAAAGAGGTTGCCTGTTTGAACAAGTCGGGGAAGAAGAAGAAGAAGAAGCTTCTGGGTTCTGAAGCGGATCTTGCACGCCAGGTAGGTTCCGGTAAGTCGACCGTTTTTTAAGAGGTAATTTTTTTTCTTCCTCCTCATCTTCAATTGTGATGACTTCAATTTCATTCCGTTGCCGGGTCGATTTTGTTTCGGGCCATGACGGTTTGGTCCAGCTCCTCTTATCATCTAAGGAAGGGATGGGTAAAGGTGGCGGAGGGTTTTCTTCTTCTTTTTCTTGAAACATCATCGGCGATTGGAAAGAAATCTCCTCTTTCAATTGTTTCCAAAGCGAGTACGAGCACCGATCGACGAGAAAGAGACTCTTCTGGGTTGTGACGATGAGATATTGCGTTTTCGGGGGAACGACATAGTTTTGAAAAGGTCTTAGAATATATTTCTTATATTTCATCCTGTCGCTGACTTTAAAACTTCTTTCCTTCAGATTGGGGGACGATGATTCGTAATAGGCGAGAGGAGCGGCTGTGGTTTGAACAATATGAACTTCGTCCTCAGCCGTCGTTCTCACTCCAAACGTAAAATATCGTTTCGTGAGAAAAATATTCTTCCACCGAAAACTCGTGCGCGGATCTGTATATCGCCGGTCTGTTTGAATGGGCCGTCTCAAAGCTCGATCCATCCGATTCCAAGAGAAGGGAGATTCCTCTTTCGTTTGTTGCGATTCGAATAAATTTCTGTATATATTCTGAACGAGCAGGTTGGAGGATTCGACATCTTGGTTGAAAGAAACGATCGCTTGATGAGGTGGTAAATGCGGAATAAATGTCGCACAATGACACGCCAAAAAAATTTTCAAGTTGGAGATTTGCTTTAGCGTCTTCAAATCCTCCCCGTTCGAAATCCGTTGAGTTGGAAAAACGTCTAATAGCGACATGGCTCCCAATGGAAAAGAAATGATCTCGCCCAGTACTCTCGTCTTTTTATATATCTATATAGACACACACAGACACACATAGAGGCTCTATGACGTCCGTTTTATTTGTTTTTTTTGTTTCTCTCTCTCTCTTCTTTCCAAGAAATCTTATCTCCATGACCTCTTTTTCTTTTCTTAAAAAGATGAATGTGTGTGGGAATGAGGAAGTGAAAGTAATAATTTAATAAACAAAAAAATTATCCAACCATGACCTTCTTTTTTTTTCAAAGTCACCCTTTCCAATCCAAGGACGTCCAGAGATAGAGGAAGCAGGGAGAGAGGAGGAGGAGGGAAGGGAAGGTCACACTCTCTTTCTCTCTATAAATAAAAGGGGAGAGCCCCAAAGTCGTATTTTTGTCCAAGTGGATCATGAGGAGGCATCCCCAGCTCACTACGTGTATTCCTTTCAAATATAAATATGTTGATCTTTCCTTTTATATCATCCAAGGAGTCGTTTACCTGAAAGCCTCCGATTTTTCAAAATGTGCGGGTTATTATACCGTGGGGAGTTATCAAAAGATGCGGGACGAATTTTTATCCGACGAAAACGTGTTGATGGCTCGTGACATTCCACCTTTGGATGCACAAATTTTGTTAATGAAACGAGCCAAATATTTTTACACGTCCCACTTTCTAACCGTCTCGCAAATGAATAGGATTATGGATCGTCTTGAGAAGACAAAAGGGATTCTCGTTCATTTTAGTGAATGGTTGCACAAATGTTTGCACGAACCTCTCTCGATCGAGAAGACTGGGAAGAATACCTATTATATTCTTCTCGAGGACTCTCCTCCTTCGTCTCATCATTAGAGAGGCCACGACTTTTGAAAAAATCCTCGAGCAAGAAAAAATAGAATGGTGGAACAACTACCCCATCCCTCTCCCCGAGCATCAAGAGGAGCCTGTTCAGAAGAAAAAGAAAAAAACCTTTCCAAAAGCCTATCCTCATCCTCCTCGATAATGATGGGGATGAGGAGAAGCCTGTTCAGATTCCTCTCCGTTTGTCAAAACCCGTCGAGGATGAAAAACCTCTCCCTTCCTCAAAACCCCTTGAGGAAGAGAGAGCCCCTCGAGAAGGAGAAATCTCTCCCATTGTCAAACCTCCTCGAAGATGAAAAACCTCTCCATTTATCAAGACCCCTCGAGAAGGAGGGACCTCTTCCTTTATCAAACCCCCTCGAAGATGAAAAACCTCTCCATTTATCAAGACCCCTCGAAAATGAGGGACCTCTCGATTTGTCAAAACCCCTCGAGGATAAGGGAACCAAAACTTCTCTCTCTTTCGAAGAGGAGGGACCTCTCAATTTGTCAAGACCCCTCAAGAATAAGGGAACCGAAAATCCTCTCCCTTTCTCAAGACTTCTCGAGGAGGAGGAGGAGGAGAGACCGCTCCATGTCTCAAGACAGGACCCCCCTCTATCTCTTGAGGATCCGAGGGAAACGATTCCTATTGAAAAACCATCTATCGACGATCCCCAGAA